CACCCAGGTGCCCCAGAAGTACTAAACTTTTTTTTTTTTTTTAAAGATTTTATTTTATTTATTTGACAGAGAGAGAGAGAGACACCTAGAGAGGGAACACAAGCAGGCGGAGTGGGAGAGGGAGAAGCAGGCTCCTGGCCGAGCAGGGAGCCCGATGCGGGGCTCGATCCCAGGACCCTGGGATCATGACCCAAGCCGAAGGCAGACGTTTAACGACTGAGCCACCCAGGCGCCCCAGTACTAAACTTTTAAAGTATACTTCCTGACCCATAGTTTATAATCATAGGGATATGAACACAGGTTGAACATAAAAACAATAACCGAAGAAAACAAAGTTTGTACAATCAATGTTCTTATTGTTTGGTCAGTATGTGAGCAAAAACTACGAGATAAAGACATTGAAGGGAATTTAGAAAGAAACTTTCTTGAATCCACAAATCCAAAGACAGGTCTTTATTATCTGGGAGTCTGAGATCTGAAACAGCTAATATATTATTTTCTTGAGTAAAATGTACTTTAGACACATCTCCCATAATAAATATATGTAGGAACATTAATTTTGGCATGCAAAAATTCAACTAGGTGAAATAGAGGACAAACATATGTAGTTACGGGAGAACAACTTAGAAGTTAGAAAGAGAAACAAAACAAAACAAAAAAACCAATGCAAATTCTTCTTTTTTTTTTTTTTTGAGAGTGTGTGGGCTCAAGTGGGGGGGGAGGGGCAGAGGGAGAGGGGGAGAGACAGAGAGAAACCCAAGCAGGCACCACACTCAGCACAGAGCCCTATGTGGGGCTCACAACCCTGGGATGACGACCTAAGGTGAAATCAAGAGTCGGACACTTAACAGACTGAGCCACCCAGGCATCCCAAAAAAACAACTCAAATTCTCATCTCTGTAATAATACTCTTTGTTGACTTCAGTTTCTTTATTCTCCCTATGATTCCAGTAACTGTTCTGCACATATGCTGAATTTAATCCCAAATGTTGGGTCTCATACCTTTATTAACAACACTCAGAATGGCACTTGATAAGAACTATTGTATTACTTATTTACTTATTACTTAATATGTATTATTTATTACTCTTTATTCATTATTATGTCATTTATTAGTGAAAATAGATTCAACCTCAAGGACAAAAACAAACAATTGGTGAACAAAAGCTATAAAAGACAAAACACCTAAGATCACTATTATGATAAAATGAAGATTTCAGACCTGCAAAACCACCCCAATAACTTACCAATAACTCCAAGACTGGTTAGCCGAAGATATTCAAAGGGCCGCGTTTTGCTGACAGTGTGCAAAAAGGGGTACAAAAAAAGTGGGATGTGTGCTGCAAGAAATGCTGACCTGGAAGAAAAAAATAATCCCAGTCAGGGCCCAGAGTTCACTTCTAAGGATTCTGAACATTCAATTTCCGGGCAGTTCGTTCTGTAAGATCTGTAACATTGCCTAACCAAGGAAATCTCTAGAAAAGAGTTACTGGTCATTAGTCTAGACCAGTGGTTCTCAACTGGAGTGATTTTGCCCTCCAGGGTACGTGTGACAACGTCTGGAGATATTTTTGGTTGTCACAACCGAGGGCATGCTATTGGCACCCAGTGAACAGAGGCCAGGGATGCTGTTAAACATCCAACGGTGCACAGGATAGCCCCCTTTCACCCCCTTCCCCCCACCACAAAATCTAGCTCAAAATGGCAGCAACATCAAGGTTAAAAAAAAATCTAGTGTAGGTCTATGCTTAAGAAAATACACGATTTTCCCTATTATCAGCACCAAGTACCTCAAAAACTGATAAAATATCCAACTGTGGATTTTAATAGGTCATAAAATGCCATTACGTGCCCAGGAGATTCTCCTAGGTGCCTTCCCTCACCTAATTTATGACTGAATAAGAATATTCACAGGTACAGTCAGACAAAACCTTATAGACCAAGATAAGAAAACAAAGCAGCCATGATCAGATTTACCTATGTTTAAATGCACACCATTCTTTTTTTGTTAGAGCAGTTCAGATACAGTAAGTACTTGGAAACATTTTAAAGATTTTATTTTATTTTAGAGAAAGAGAGAGCACACGCAGGCGGGGAGGAGCAGAAGGGGAGGGAGAGGGAGGGTAAAGAATCTCAAGCAGATTCCATGCTGAGTGTGGAGCCCAACTTGGGGCTCAATCTCACGACCCTGAGATCATGACCTGAGCTGAAACCAAGAGTTGGAGGCCTAACCGACTCAGCCACATAGGTGCCCCTCTAAAAACATTGTAATCTGAAGCTAATATGTCAGGCAACTAATATAGAACCAATCTATTACTTTGTATTATTTATAGTTAACTAACGTTGTGGGAGAGCGCTCTAAATTTTTAAAACTCAAAGTACTCTCCCATTTTTCTTAAGTGCTTAAGAATAATTTTCATAGTTAACTTCTCTAAAGTTCTGCAATGTCAGTGCCAACCTAGCACTCAGATTTTGTAATTGATAAAGAGACAAAAGACTTCAATAAGATGACTGTTAAGTGCCTTGGAACCGTAAAGGTCACAAAACAGATTATTGAACAGGATTTCCCTTTTCTTGTCAGATGCAGCAGGTCAACTGGCATGCCAATTCTGATCTATTACAAGGTTGCCTAGGTTCCTGTGTTAAGAAAGATTCTGAAGCCAAATCTAGGTTCAGTGGGAAAAAAATGTTGGGTTCAAATATTTACTGAATTCCTAGTAAATGCCATGCACTGTGCCTCACATAGTGATGCCTACCATGGATTCAGGAGGGAGAAATATCTACATGCCTGATCTTTCTTGGGATGTGAACACCACTCTTTTATTTTTATTTTTTTAATAGTAAACTCTACCCCCAACGTGGGGCTTGAACTCATGACCCTGAGATCAAGTGTCACATGATCTACTGACTGAGCCGGCCATAGGCCCTGTGAACACTCCTTTAAAGTTCATTGCTATGAATGGGTCAAAAGTAAATGAGACAATGGATTATCATTCATCCTTAAAAAGGAAATTCCGACATATGCTACAATATGGATGTTATACTAAATGAAATAAGCCAAGCACAAAAAAACAAATACTGAATGACTCCACTTAAATGAGGTATTAGAGTAGTCAAAATCAAAGAGACAGAAAGGAAAATGATGGTTACCAGGGGCTATGGGAATGGGGAGTTATGGTTTAATGGGTATCGTTTCAGTTTTATCCAGTGAAAAGAGTTATGGAGATGTATGGTGGGGATGGTTGTCCATTATAAATATATTTAATACCACGGAACTCTAGGTTTAAAGATGGTTGAAATGGTAAGTCTGTTATACATATTTTACCACAATAAAAAAAAAGGCAAAAAAAATTTATAAAAGAACATGTTAAACAATACTGTACTGTTACTACATGAAAACTTGGTGAATTAGAGAAGAGAAATTCTTCAGAAAAAAAAAAAAAAGCAAATGAGAATCCTGAAGATCCACATCCACACACATGCTTCCTACTCCTACTGCATGCCCTTCCTCTCATCATTCAGAAAAGACCGTATTTGATACAAACCTCCATCGCCAGGCTCATCAAAGCACTTACCTGGTTTCCGGGTGTGATGCCACACATTGCAGCAAAGCCAGAGCATTGCAAACTCTGTTAGACTGGTGTGCTGTCAAGGTGGGGGGGTTGATAGATGGATAAATATTTACAATTTCCTAAAAAATGGAAACCAGCACCAGATGAATAAAGAGTAACTACTTCAAAATTAATTTCCATGGTATTAAAGCAAAAACCCTACAAACCCCCAACCCGTAATTCCATATATCCTGCAAGAACTGAATCATCAAAGTGCGAGCAAAAATAAACAAATAATGCTCCTATCTTTTCATCACAAATATACCTAAGACTATGAGACATTTCTACGTAGGTCTCTAGGAAGATTCCTCTGGAGGCAATTGTGGTCACCTACATTTCCTCTTATATCCAGCATCTGTTGAGGCCTTCATTTGAGGGGCTATGGCTGTTATTGCTATAATCCCTTCTTTTTGTCAACACCCTGTTTTGAGTTACAGTGATAAGATACTTGGTCAGATAGCAAGTGTCAGTAAATCAACCACAGTGACTCATAAAGAAGTCTGAGTTTGGTCAGGTAGCAACTGCAGACAGGGAGAGATAAGAAGAGGAGTATACGCATGGAGATACGTACAAACGGCAGTGAATATGTGTACTCTCTGTCCAAAGGGGATCATCTGCTGTAAACAATTCTTTTTATTTTAATTGTAAAACTTTTATTGAAAATGTAAAGATAAAAAAGATAAGTTTTGGGGATTAAGAATACACTTATTGTGTTAAGCAGTGAGTACAGAATTATTCAATTGTTGAATCATTATATTGAACACTTGAAACTAATAGAAACTAATAATGTTAATTATACTTTAATTAAAAAAAAGATTAGTTTCTTGGCTACATGAAGTAGGAATTGAATGTAAATTTATTTAACAGATTTGAAAAATTAATTATTAGGAATTTTAGACAATACTTTAAAGGATGATTATTCCATTATCTTGGTATCAGGATTATATTGTACCAATTTATTCTCCACAAATGACCATTATAGTCAGAACCACATTTCAGTGATTTATTCTTTAATGTAGAAGCATACCTATCTCTAATCCTACAGCTGTTATATCTTTGTCTTAACATTTCTGTTCACCAGAATACACCCTGCGGTTCTTATACTTTACCTTCCACCTTTTCCCCTCTGTCATCTAGAAATGTCTTGTAGTATTCCTAAAGCTGTGTTGCTCAAAGTGTGGTTCTCAGACTGCCTGCATCAGAATGACCTAAGAACGGGGCAGGTGCTTGCTAAAAATACAGATTTTTATTTTTATTTATTTATTAATTATAATTTTTGTTTTATTATGTTATGTTAGTCACCATACAGTACATCATTAGTTTTTGATGTAGTGTTCCATGATTCTTTGAAAAATACAGATTTTTAATCTTAGACTAAATAAATCTTTTGGGTAAAATCTATGAACCTGCATTTTAACAAGCACCTTAGACTTTTCCAAAACAGATTCTTACAAACGCTAACATTCAAAGAATCATTCTACTAAAGTCTTCAAAATCACTTGAGCAAAGGCAGAGAGACAGAAGTGTGATGAACAGGACTGAACTGCAACGCACAGATATATACCCACCTGTAAAAGTGCTGCAATAGTACCAAATGAATGCCACAGCATGGGTGCAAGATCAGGGACAGATTCTCGCTTCTTACTCAGCTCCAGCAAAGCATTTTCCCTTGTCTCAGGACTGGACAGCTCATTGATCCATTGATAGATTTTTTCTCTATCTACCTGAGCCAGTGCAGTAGGCACAGGCTTTAAGTGAAAACAAGAAAGTGAACATGTGAATTTCATTAGAGTCAAACCAAGTCTTACTCTGCTTTAGAAGGAATGTATTTTTCCCAAATACCAGGGGAGCTTTTCTAAATACATGCACTTAAGTCAATCTATCAAAATCTAAAATGCATACATCCTTTAATAATTCCATGTTTAGGAATTTATCCCATAGGTGTACTTGGGCTGTACTGAAGACATACCAGGATGCTTACTGTTGCACTGTTTTAAAAGCAGAAAACTTGAAACAGTAAATATCAACTAAGGATGGGTACATCTTTATTTGTAATACTATGTAGCCCTTTTTAAAAAATAGCTCTACGTGTGCTGATACTAAATAAAAAAAAACATAAAAGGTACAGAACCATATATACGCTTCCATTAATAGACACAAGTATATTCTTATATATTCATATACAATGATTCTAGAATGACATGTAAGAAGCCTAACAGTAACAACTACAACAAAAAACTTAACTGTAATTACTGCTAAGGTTGGAACCTAGATGGGAGATATACTTTTTTTTTTTTTAAAGATTTTATTTATTTATTTGAGAGAGAGAGCGAACGAGAGAGACAGCATGTGCTGAGTGCATGAGGCTGGAGGTGGGGGGTTGGGGGGGTGGACGGAGCAAAGGGGGAGGGAGAGGGGAAGAATCCAAGCTGACTCTGCACGCAGACCCTAATGCGGGGCTCAATCTCAAGATCCTGAGATCATGACCTGAGCTGAAACCAAGAGTTGGGGGAGATCAACCAACTGAGCCACCCGGGCGCCCTAATTTACTTTTTTTTTTTTTTTTTAATTTTATTTATTTATTCATGAGAGACAGAGAGAGAGAGAGGCAGAGGGAGAAGCAGGCTCCCAAGGAGCAGGGAGCCCGATGCGGGACTCGATCCCAGGACCCTGAGATCATGACCTGAGCCGAAAGCAGACGCTTAACCATCTGAGCCACCCAGGCGCCCGCCCTGATTTACTTTTCATTGTATACTATAAAATCTTCTGCATAGTTTAAACTTTTTTTTAAGCATATGGCTATAATAGTTCCTGAAAGAAAAAATATTTACACCCTCCCCACCCATTGCTGGTCCTTCCCCCGTTAATTCCAGCCTCCCCCTCCATGGAGCAGAAAACCTATGTAATTTGGAAAAGCTCCCTAGCTTCTAATGATTCTTATACATACTCTACCTCCACCCCTTTGAGAATCATTCATTACTTACTCATGTAGGGGCCATACAGAGAATTCTTTCATTATTGTGCTAAAGCATCACACCATTCCAAAAAACCGAGCATTTCTATAATTCTCCATACTTGTCAAACAGCCTTGAGACCTCGGTTAAGTTCCTTAATTACTCTTCTCTGGAAAATAAGATAATAGACTAGAAAAATGATTACCATTGCTATTTCTAGCCCTCATGTCCTAACATATTCATGATTTTTAGCTCTATGCCCAGTATTTTCTCACTTAATTCCCCCAAGCAAGGGGAATAGATGGGTAGATAGGGTGAGTAGGTAGAAAAAAGGCAACTACACTTGTAAAAGAGATCACTAACACTCAGAGGAATTAACCTGCTCAATTCACCCAAGTATGAAGCTGCATATTCCAGTGCCTTCTTGAACTGCATCACACAGCTTCCCATGGTATTTACATGTTCCCACTATACCTTAGTGTGACAGAATGATGACCTTACCATTGTACAGATGGAATGATGAGGAACAGAAAGGACAACTGTTTTTGCTGAAGAACAAAAGTTAAGACAGACTATGAGGTGTACTCAGAATTACTCTACCCAAGCTGAACAACAGCCTTCTATAAATGGAAGCTTGATTATAAGCTTTTAGCTTAATGTTTATCATTTCACTTGCTTGACAGAATGAACCACAAGGTGTTCTGCTAAATGGACTGAAATACCACGCAGCTCAAGTCTTCTTTAAGTGCCTCAGAGTAATCTGTTGAAAGGCGCTTTGTAACTCCCATCAGTGATGCTCCTCAAGGAAACACAGGCTCGCGCAGCAACGATATGAAGAGCAGGGTAGTTCTTCCCATCCCCCAACAGCAAAAGCAGTACTGACCAAGCACTTGCCCTTTCCAGGCTGCTACAGATAGGCCCTCAACTTAAAAAATTATTTTTGGAAATGTAATTCCCACCAGAAGACAGCGTATGTTTATTTAGAGTATTACATCACCTTAAAAGCTCAGTGGAAACAAGGGCTAAAATTTTAGCTTTGGGTTTCCTGCCCAGTCTCCTGGACGACCCACAATCCAGTAACTAAAGGGGCCTCAGAGACACTCCTCCAGCACTCCTCCTGGTTAGTCATTACTCATTCAACTCTCCCTAAAGTTCTGGCGCCCTAATACCATCATCAGTAAGCTCTATTGCCCCCACTAGAGCCAGCCTGTAACTTGTATCTGGAATCCCTATCCTCATGCTGCCCTGGGGAGCCCCAGGTGAACAACAGCAGGATGGACTTGTAGCCACCAGTCTAGCATATCATGGCTTCTGGACACCAGGCCCCACCCTCACATAATCCATTTCCAGAGCTGGCCTGACTCCAGCAAAGAGATGGTGCCCCTGCAGTGAGGCTAACACCCTGGAGGGCCAATGCCTGGTGACAACTTGGGTACCTAAGGTCATGGGCACCTGCTGCCAGCAATACTCTAACTTTTGAGGCTACTTATGGAGCTGCAGCCTCCACAGGGCTTTGGTTCTAAGAAAACTAGGGGCTCTGTAGCCATTCTAGCAATGGGAAGGCAGTGAGGGCAATTTGGTTCCAGGAAATACTTGGGATAAGGACCCTTCTTTACATCATCCCTGGTGAATTTTGCTCCCAACTTAATAGCAGGACTTACTTTAAACCCACTGAATACCTGTTTGTTACAGGATAAATACTAAATACAATTACTTCTGAAAATAAAAATGGGAGGTAACACGTATAGTGTTTACTCTGTCAGGCACTGTCCTAAATAAATACTTGTCACCACCCTCATTTTATAGAGGAACAGAGAAGTTATTTAACACTTAAGTGCCAAAGCCAAAATTTGAACCCAGGCAGTCTGGCAACAAAGTCTATTCTCTTAACTGCTTTGCTAAGGCTGCTTCTCACCTGCTGGAAAGATTAGGTCTGATCTAAAGATGACTTTCAAAAAACAAAAACAAAAAAACTATTTCCTGTGACCTAGACAAGAGACAGGGAATATGTAAACATCGCAGACAAAAATTAAATGTTACTGCTGTGAGTTCAGCAGAATCTGAAAACAATCAGCACCATGAATGTGAAGAGAAATTTTTGACTTAACTGAGATTACAAGGTACTTGACAATCATTTAAATGAGGAAGTCAGTGAGATAGTTTGACATAATTCCCTATGTCAAATCATGGTTCACATGGGAATAATCTAGCTAGTGATAGCCACTAACGCACACTGACACACACACACTACCCCCACATACATAAACAGGTAATTTTATAACACATGCAGAAGTTCAGTTATTTTGGAGAATAAAAGGGAAAATATTTTTATATTTTCAGTTACATACTGATTTATGTACAGATGACTTCTGGGTTTGAACTGCACACGTCCACACATATGTGGATTTTTTCGATAAATACAGTACAGTACTCTAAAAGTATATTTTCTCTTCCTTACAACTTATTTTCTTCTCTCTACTTTATTATAATATAGTATATAATATTTATAACCTACAAAATATGTGTTGATCAACTGTTATCGGTAAAGCTAGTAGTCAAGAGTAGGCTTTAGGAGGTAAGTTTTGGGGGAGTCAAAACTTACATGCAGATTTTTGACTGTGTGTGGGGGGGTGGGGTCAGCACCCCGAACCCCCACCTTGTTCAAGGGTCATCTGTATTAATATTAACAATTGATAAAATACTTTGGACATTATCCTTGAATAAATTTCCAAAGCATAACTCCAGCATCTCACTAGATCTTGATGGTAATAAAACCCCCAAATGTATCTTACTCTCTTTCTAAATCCCAAGGATCATTTAGGTACACCTTTCATAAAAATATAAGAAACAGAACTGTACTGTACACTTTATTTATTTACATAGGTATGCATTTTTGAAAGAGAGAAAGCATGTCCACCCAAGCAGGGCAGAGGGAGTTTTATTTATTTTTAAATATTTTATTTATTTATTTATTAGAGAAAGAGAGAGAGATAGCATGAGCAGGGGGAAGAGGGAGAAGCAGGCTCACCATTGAGCCAGGAGCCCCACACGGGGCTTGATCCCAAGACCCTGCCATCATGACCTGAGCCAAAGACAGATGTTTAACCGAATGAGCCACCCAGGCGCCCTGAAGGAGAGAATCTTAAGCGGGGTCTATACACAGCATGGAGCCAAGTGTGGGGCTTGATCTCACAACCCTATCATGACCTCAGCTGAAACCAAGAGTCGGACACTTAACTGAGCCACCCAGGCACCCATGGTACACTTTTTAAAAACATGGTTTCATTTAATGGTCAGAATAACTCGGTTATTATCCTCATTTTACAACTGATGAAACTATGAGTAAACCATGGCAGGTTTCCTCCTCCTCCCATTCTCAATTTAAAGATCACCTCTAAAGATTCCTAATCCAATTGCTACAATTCTTTTAATTTATAATTTTTTTTTAAAGATTTTATTTATTTATTTATTAGAGAGCGAGCGAGAGAGAAACAGCATGAGAGAGGAGAGGGTCAGAGGGAGAAGCAGGCTCCCCGCCGAGCCGGGAGCCCGATGTGGGACTCGATCCCAGGACCCTGGGATCATGACCTGAGCCGAAGGCAGTCGCTTAACCAACTGAGCCACCCAGGCGCCCTCTTTTAATTTATAATTTACTAATACATTTCTGAGACTATGGCTGATAGGGAACTCCATCTAGTAGCACATACTGTTCAGTGGCTGATAAGCAATTCACCTATGACTTCTCTATTGGAGACTACTTTAACACATTAAAAATAATAGCAGGATACTACCAC